ATGAGTGTTTAGTGAGAATGAAGAGAATATGCATAAATGTTAATACGCTATACGAGGACAGAAATATATGATACGGTTATGGCAGAAACAATAGAGAACAATATGTATTACATGGATATTAACTTGGTAATGAAATGACCACTGGGTGAAAATATGTTGACATTATATGCCTGATTATTAGTCATTAAAAGAAACATGTGAGCAACAGAAACGAATATACGTTTAAAGGACGAACCTGCGAACTTGAGAAATGTCCACTTTTTTATCCAAACGCACAGCCCGCACCGCCCAGCTGCATCTTTTGTAATCCACGTATACAATATGGAGGAAACTTCTGTTCGATCTTTTTGTCCAGAACTGAAAGTAGTTGGCTATTGCCAATCTCTTAAGATGGAAAAGAAGATCCTTCTTACTTTCATAAATTGCTCTCACCGCAATCGTCGTTGGATCAAACCGGGATATAACCTTCAAATCCCTTAACATAGAAATTTCCTCGGTAGACATGCGGGTACTATGTGAAATTGAACTTTCGTTGGACAGCAACAAATTGTTCTCCGCCTGCGTATCCTCACTGGCGGTCTGAAACAAAGGAGATTCACTAGAAAGCACGAGACGGTGATCATGGTGATTACTAATTGGGCTGCTTTGGGGCATCTCTGGGACATCACCACCATGTGCGTTTGCATGGCCGGGGGGAGATGTGTCCCCCTCAGAGACATCGTCGAAGTCGGAATCGGAATCACACGGGGAATCAATACTAGACCATAACTCAACACATAAGGGCAAATCACGAACATTGATATGGTTCAGTATCAAACGTATGTAGGACTCAAGGGTAGGGTCATCATGAACAAAGGTACGCTATTGTGTGGAACTGGACGTGTATGACAATATAAAATCTGAATTTTCAGCATACGAAGGTACTGTCAATCGGATTAAGTGTATAAGATCATCATACGTAGACCCACAACAGAAATCAATCTCATAAAAACCCTCGCAGTTGAATTCTGAATTATTAGACCATACACCATCAAATTTCAGGAGAACGCGAACATGACATCCCTTCTCTGGGGGATCAACGGCTGGGAGACCGCTTGCAATAAAGAAGAGAACATGTTCTTGCTTCTGGAGATGAGCACGGTGGGAGACAGGGTACGAAAAAATGGAAAAGAACAGAAACACTAGGGCAGAGATGATGACAAACGTGCGATTAATGGCTGCGGGGTTTTAGTTCCTAAATTTTTGGAGATAATTATGAGTAATTAGGTTATTTACTTGGAAAGAAACACTAAAAAAAGGTTGGGAGTGGCGAGGAGGACAAATAGGTCCACTTACATCATAAAAAGTGCCATTTACGGAAGAAAAAGTTAGTGGTGCTATACACGGAAGTTTCCTATGTTTTAGTGCTATATGGAGCAAAAAATTCTACTAATTAACCAAGAAAGGTCAAATGAAAATAGTACAAATGGAGTAAATGAATGTTTTTTATTTTAGTCATATACTCAACTAAATTCAAATGAAAACAATTTTAGTTAAATGCCGTAAACCAAAGTAGTATTTTTTGGTATTGAGAGAACATAAAATGGGAAAATAGACTATTAAGGGTCAATTCTTTTGTGTTAGAAAAGATAATTTTAAACTTTTTAAACTCCTTTCAGTTTTTGAAACACCTTCAAGTTTCTTTCCATTCCTTCAAAGTTTTTCCAACGACTTAATAAATATATTTACGTATGATGAATATACAATATCATCATTTTTTAATCCAAAATTTGTTTTCTTACATGTGTATATGGGTTATCATTTATTTGAATGATTTTGGAGTTCCTTCCACTTTTTCTAATACCGGATCGAAAAAAAGAGGCCTGAAATTGGGACGTTAGATCACGATTCACTAGTATATACTCCGTAGTATTTGTATAGACATATAAACATACATACACATAGACGGGAGCACATGCAGTTTTGACTTTATGATTTTGGAAGAGTACAAAAGGAACATATCTGACCAATAATATTGGTTTTGTTATTATATAAGGACTTAATAATTATGTAATACTAATAAAGCTCTGAATGGAGCATGAAAATAGCAAATCAGAGCGTACGTGTACGTGGAAAGCCTCTATCAGTCTACCCATCGATATTTTCCTCAAGAGGCATCCATTATAAATCTTAATTAGAGGCCTCTATTCAAAGACACGTTTAATCAATCTTAATTCTTGATGACATTATAATATATAATAATAATAATAATAATAGTACTAGTATTATATTAATAATGGAATTGGGAAACTACTCCAATTAATTAATAAGACTAATAAATGGTGATCATAATTAATTAAATTAATATTAAAAACACGGCATGCATGCATGCATACATTTTACAAACAAATCAAATAGATGGAGAAATCAGGAAGGAGAGGGGGTTTAATTAATTTCCTAGAAATGTGGCCGGTTTTCATTATTTGTATAATCAATCACGTTTTTTAGGGACAGATTTCGACCCTAATGCATGTGGATTGTCCCCCTTGCCGTTTCAGGGCCGTTGCTTTGTCCTAATCATCAATCATCA